TAGAGAGCCTGCAAAAAGCACGCACGCTGAATAATATCGGCATATTGCTAAAGTCCTTCCTGCCAGTCGCTAAGTCTTGGGGACACATTTCAGCCTCATTAGAGTGGGGCAGAGCTGCGCCACTGCCAGCAAACTCCCAAAGGTTTTGGAGGGGGGGGAGTGTGTTTCGGGGGAAATGTGCCCCTTCACAGGGGCTTGGCAAGGGGCCATGGGGCCCCAGGAGAGCTGAATTTGCCTCCCCTGCCCCAGGCTGGAGGTTCCCTAACTCTCAATCAAGGCTTTTCAGTTGCGTATGTTTTTTTAACCTTACGTTTCCACTCCTTTCGACTGAGAAGCCAAGCTTTAAGACGTGAAGAATACCAGGGGAAGTCTCAAAGGTCGTGTGCGTGGCGGGGCCTTCGTGGGATCTCCCATGGTCCAGAGCTGTATCGCGTGCCCACAGCTAATATCTAGGGCAGGCTCTCCAGTGCCAAAGGAAGCCATGCCCACATTTGTACGGTGTGTGGACATCACGGTGCTCGGATTACTTCGATGCCAGATTTAGATTTTATGGGAGGCGTGCAGCCCTGACGATCGGATGCTCAGGTCTCGGTGATCTATTTCCGTCGCAGGCATCGCTTTTAGCAGGGCTGGGTTCAGTCATATGGCATTAGAAATAATGAAAGATTAATCCAGGTGGGGATTAGCAGCCGTCCAAGTGAAACCGATCGCCTTAAGGTGGGGTGCCGATGCAAAGGTCATCCAAGTCCAAGGAAAGCGACACGGATCCCCAACTTTCCCTGATTTCTGGAGTTCATTTCCACATGTTTTGGAGCAGACGTTGGTTTGCACCTCTTGGTCCCAGATCTGGATCCGACAACAATCCATGGCAGAAGTTCTGTGCGTGGTGGGAGCTCACAGTGCAATTTGCGAAACAGTGGTGAAGAAACTTATTTGGAGAAAAACCACGCATGGAAACCATCTAGTTTTAAAAAGGTGAACATGCGTGCCGGACTCAGTGAAAGGAACGTGTGCATCTCAGATGCAGTTGATGCGTGCATTGGTGAAATGCATACCAACATTTATTTACAGAAAGGAGACGGGCTTGTGAGTGGATGTGGGCCAATGCCAGAGCTAATTTCGAGGTGGAAAAGGGAGGCCTTTGATAAGCGCAGATTTTGCTGATTTGCACACCTCCAGTCCCAACACATGGACTCCCCGCAGATACAGTTGGACGCTCTTCCCAGGCACAGCACTGAAGCGAGCATTTTCTTTTCCAGCAGTGACTCCGAGGGATAGGACAGTGGGGCATTCTGGGAAATGTTAAATGGCAGCTCCCAGCAGCCTCCCCAACACGTGTTCAAAGGGGGGTGGGGCACCGAAGCTGCTCAGGCGCAGCCCACGGAGGCGAAGCCCGTTTGGACGCGACCCTGCCAGCTACCACAGGGGAAATCTGGAGCACGTGGCTCTTTCGCATCCACGCATTCCTCCAGCTTGTGCTCAGGAAACGCTCCTGGCATTCCCCAGGTCTGCTCCACTGAAACAAAAACAGGGATCGTGCTTTCCAAGGGACGCACGGGAGAAAACTGGGGCGGCGGGCCAGCGCCCCGGCAGGCATGGCCGGCGGCAGCACACGGCATCGTGGGCCATGCGGGCTCCGTGTCTCGCCAGGAGATTTACGAGCAGGCTGCAGCAGGGAATGCCACCGCGGAGCCAAGAGGGAGAGAAAGACGGAGGCAGGGCTTCCCGCACCGAGGAGCTCTTTCCCCGAGAAAGCTTTCTGGCACGCTTAATCCCAATACCTGCATTTGCATTCACAGCCGCGCCTCACACAACGCCGTTAAGGACTTTTGGCAGGTCCTGAAGCTTGACTGGGGAGGCAGCGCCGCCATTGTCTACTCCGCTCTCACTCAAACTCGCGCACTAGGGCTGGCCTTTCTCCCCTCTCGCTCTGAAGTTTCTATTTGGGGGCCTTGGCAGTCGCCCTGGCAGAGCGTCAAAGGCTCTTGGCGGCGTTACTCCTAGGCCTGCTTCAAAGGAAGGCCAAGGTGTTTGGGTTTCCCGCTTGCCGAATGCAGAAAGGGCCTGCTCGCCCATCGCCGTCGGCCGAAAGGACTCCCTCCCCACCCACCCGTTGTGGGAGCGACATTGTAAGAAGGAGACGGACGGGGCACGGGACCCCATGTGGCCTTGGAGAGGCCGTTGGACTCCGGAGCCCTTCAGCCCCATGGCCAAAGGTGATAGGAGCTGGAGTTGAGGGAAATCTGGGAGGCCACCCCCGCAATAGCAGGACGAGTGTCAGAGGAAAGCAGCGGAGACGCCGGATCCATGGGGGAACCGTCCCCGTCCATCACGCCGGCTTTGTTTTCCACCATTCCAATGGCCAGAGCTCTTTGGGCGGTTCACAAAATCACCACTGGGAAAGGTACCATAATGGAAACAGCAGACCCAGTCTTTAAAGTATATAAAGCTCAAAAGCACTTTGAATGGGCACCATTAAATCCCAGGACCTGATAAACGGCCGACATGGCAAAAATACACCGCCAACCCCTTGGCCTTGAGTCACCTGCCGCTCGCAAAAAGCGTTTCCCTGTCTTGTCCAGGCGCTGAAAAGGTGACCCAGGTGGCCCCAGGGGGCCCTCTGTGGGGAGAGCCTTCCACAGCCAGGCGGGGCCGGGGAGCACCAAGCGGGCCCCGATCCGTCCTTCCCAAGAGCCCCTGTGCCATTCCATACCCTGCTCCAGACATCTCGGGCCGCCCTCCGTTTCCCAGCTCCACCTGAGCAGCAGCACGGGTGTCCCTGGGGATGCAGCCCGTCTCCCAGGCGCGCTGCGAGCGAAAGCAGCCAGCCTCGGCCGCGTTTGGGGATGCCCCGCTCCGCGGCCAGAAGCACCGGATGCGCCCAGCCCGCGCCGTCTTATTTTTCTTGGTCCAGGCCATTAGAGCTCCTCATTATCTGCCCTCTTTGCTGATGCACAGATAGCGGGCTCGGCTGAGTGTTTACCACCGGTTATCGGCCAGCACTTTGGCCGTTATCAGAGGAAGGGACGCCTGCCGCTGGGCCCGGGCTCTCGCCCTTTCTGTTACTGCCTGTCAGAGGCCGAGAGTGAGCTGTGAAACTGTGCAGTCGTCTCGGGAGAGCAGATAGTTTCTGACGGCTGATCAAAGGAAAGCGCCAAAGCCCTGATAACCGGGGACGTTCGTTTTGTGCGCTTTCAACTCGGAGAAAAACGCTGGCATTCGCCTCCTCCTCTTCCCACCCTCCCCGCACGCCCCACGCCCCACCTCGGCCGGCCGGCTGGCTGGCAAAAGCCAGGCCTGCTAAACGCCGCGGATCCAGTTACCTAATTGTCGAGCGGAATGGCATGCGATCCGAGCGTCAAAAGCCCGGGCCGTAATCTCATTCCAACCAGGGAATGATTTAAAATAAGCCCTCGCAACAGACCTGCTGCATAATAGACTTGAATAATTTTAATTTGTACTTTGAAGTGATCTGGGGTCCACAATCTAATCTTTGCATTTAGTCAAACGTCATGTCCTATTTTTGAATTCGGAAACAACTGTGAGTTAAGGGAATTATTTTTAAGTAGCGCTTCTGGGGAGTTTATGGAGTTTTCGCGCGATCAACTTGGTCAGCGTCTCTGAGAGCTGTGCGCAGACCCGTTTTCTCTCTCTCCTGCCACCTCTCTAGTGTAGCCCTCCCACTGAAGTCACTGGGGTTTACAGCTTCATCCTAAACAGGCTTACTCTGGTGTAAGTGCCCTTTCCCTTCAGGAGATGCTGAAATATACCTAGCTTTTCGCCCTAAAATGGCTCATCTTCAGCTGGATTAGGCCCAGGTGTGTGGCTGAACAATCCCCATGGCCGTCCTCATGCAAGAGCAGGGCCTTCTCGGGAGTGGGTCCAACCTTGTGCAGCGACTTCTCCAGAGAGGTCTGTCAGGCTCCAGGACTGTTCTCAGTTAGGCACCAAGCCTTGACATGCTCCTCTGAGAGCCGGTTGCAATAAACCCAGTGAGTTGTACTTCTCCGTTGACATAAATATTTGAATGCTGTGTTTTTCGGCCTGCAGCCAAAGTGTTCTGTTCCTATAGTCTGGTTCCTTTAGACTGTTCTGTCTGGGGTTTTTATGCAGCATTATCCTTTAGCATTTGGTTCTTTACTAATTTGATACCTTTAGCTTGGAGATGCATAACCATGTACCCCTCCAGAGCTGTTACAGTGGTCTCCAAAGGTATCCAATGAATTCCCACTGCCAGTGCAGTTATTTGTACACCGGGGTGTAAAACGTCAGGCCCAGGGATCAAATCCAGCCCTTTGGAAGTCCAAATTCGGCCCTCTCGGGTTCCCCAGAAGCCCACACCCCCCCCTCGCTTTTGACCCTCCTTTCCACATTCTGGAAGATTGAAACACCTCTCCTAAGCCGTCGTTCGTTGCGGTAACTGCAGCGGTCATGAAATCCACGCCATCTACATGTTGCAGGTTGTCAAGGAGCTTTTGTTCCATCATCTGCTTATGGAAAGATGTTTTAAACTTTTCTACTTATTTGTGCAGAGTGTGTGTGTGTGTGTGTGTGTGGGGGTGTTCTACTGTCTGTAATTTTGTGGCATTCACGCAGCTTGCAAAAAGCCATTCCGCTGCAGATCCACAGGTCCGATTTGCAGAAATTCAAACTCTTTGGAGTCTGTTGCGAATTTCTCCGGCATCCCCAGCTTTAGGCTACAATAGGCCGGCATTTGGGTGGGGGAGGATTTTGGCCCTGCTCCCTTTGCCTTCAGCCCCACCCACCACTGCAAAAGGGGATTCTGTTCCCTCCCACAGAGATCTTCATCTGAACCGCTCTGCCTTTGCCAGCGCTGGCTGCAGCGGAAGATCGGTGGCCCTCGGCCCTCAGACCAGCCACATAGGGGACCCTTGGAGTGAACAGGGCGTGTTTTGCCAAGCAGGTGGCGGGGTAGAAACCTGGGGAGGAACGGAAAGGGCTTGTGCAGTGCCGATCTTTCTCTCTCTGCCCCCGCACAGGTGCCTTCGATCGGAGCATGACCCTGCTAGAGGTCTGCGGGAGCTGGCCCGAGAGCTTCGGGCTCCGCCACCTGTCTTCTATCGAACAAACCGACGAGGGCCTGCGGGAACGGCTAGCCGACGCCATGTCCGAGTCGCCCGGCCGGGACATAGTGGGACCTGGAACAGGTACACAGAAGAGGCGGGATCGGATAGCACATGCCGCTCCCCCCCAATGGTGATTTCCTTTCACTAACTTATAATGGGAATTGTCCGCTCTCCCCCCAGTGCTCCCCCCCCTCAGGTAAAGCCATCTCGCTTCACGGTTTGCATCCAGGAGCTACCTCCCATGGATGGGGGGCTCCCCTCTCAAAAGGGGACCCTCCCGATGTTGGGGGACCCTCCTTTTCTGCCAAAGGCACTTTCCACCAACCCCGTTGCACGTGCCTCGATCTGGCTGCACCCCTCTTGCAGTCCCAACCGCGAGCCGGAGTGCCACCGGCCCCCCACAGAACCGGCCCCCCTGTTTCCAGCTCCCCAGCAGCCCTGTGCCTGCCGTATTCTGTGGGGAGATGGTGGCAGGTTGCCGCGGTTGGCAGAGGGTCGGAAATGCCGTGCGGCGCAGCAGTTGAGGGCGCTGGACCAGGACGCGGGAAGTCTGGCTCCAGGTCACTGCTCAGCCATGAAGCCTGATGAAATGGAGGGGAGGTGATATCCAGAAGCCACCGAGGAATCCTTGCAAAAGGAAGAAATGCAGTGTAATTAACGATGGCACTGGGAGCAAGTGCACATAAACCAAACCAGCTCTAGCCATCACCAATAAGTCCCACAAAACATTCGCTCCCTTTCCTCCAGTTCTTTTTATTAATTGCATTTCGGTATCCCCTGCACCTGAAGCTCTCTGGGGAACCCGCAACATTCGAGTCCTCCGTCCAGTTTGCACCCAGGCCCGACCCTGCTTTGCTTCCGAGATCAGGCAGGACCAGGCGCTTCCGGCCGGGTGGAAGCGGGACCTTCCCCACGTGGAGCTGAAGGCTCCCCTTGCAAACTGAGGCCGTAACTTTCCCATCCTTCCCGTCTCTGAGGCTTTGCCTGTCTTAACCAGCCTGCCGCTCTGCGAGGGGGCTGCCCATCCGCCTCCGAGCGTTTGCATCCATCAGGGAGACATTCGGATAAATATTTACATTTGGAACATTAGCAACTGGAAGCGACTCGTGCTTCACGTGCGGGCCCACCCCGAAAATGCCCGGCACCCCTCACCGCGCCCCGATCCACACGCTGCGGGCCGGCCGGCGGGCGAGCTTGCGTGTGCCCCACAGCCGCACGGTGCCAGCGAGGCCCCGGGCTTCCGATATCCGTCGGCGGCAAAGCGCTGCTTCCATAATCCAAACTAATCCATCTTCATCAGAGTCCATTACCATGATAAATTAAAGGGCCCATTAGCATAAAGGAGCGGTCCTCAGGGACGCACGGCCGCTCAAGAGGCCTTGGGGACCTGCGGGGGCCTGTGAGAGGGAGCGCTCCCGGCTTCGGCGTCGCTGGATTGGCACGAGGCAAGCGGCTCCCTCCACCCCGTGCTCAAATGCGGAGCGACCAGCTTTTCTCATCCGTGTCTCGGCACGCAACCCTCCCATGGCCTGGGTGTTCGACCATTCACAAAACCAGGTGGCCTCCTAGGAAGTTGGCCCGGGCTGAGAAAAAATGAGAAAACGGAAAAACGGCTTTGGGGCATCCAAACTCGTGCAAAAAGAGGCAGCTGTCATTTGCCGCTCGTCTCTCTTGTTAAACCCTTTTTGGCTGCCTGTTTTTCGCTATATCTAAACCAGAAAGTCACACGCTGCTCCTGCAGCGCAGCCCCTTCTCCCCCGCCCCAACAGCCATATATTCTCCGTTGCTGAAAGCATTTGACTGAAATATCCAATTGTCTCTTTTATTTTAAACCGCCCTTTTCCCCCTTAGTCTTTGCTTTCTCTAACACTTTTCCACCCAGTCCGCTGGACGCGATGATGCTCTCAGCGACGGCTCCGTTGAGCATTGCCATAAATTCCCCCCCGCAACCGGTTTCCTTATATTGTCTCGGATGAACGTAAAAGTTCCCAAGATGTGCTGTTTTTAGCTCTTACCAGGAGTCACTTGCATGAACAAAATAGGGAAACGGCTTTTCCACATAGGACTACTTGTTGATGGGGGAATCTTTATTTATTTGTTTATTTATTTAGAACATTTATATGCCGTCCTATATGTGAGGCATCTCAGGACGGCTTAAAATATTAAAATCAGAATACAATTGATTAAAAGCGATAGATCCCATGCTTGGATCCCCTGATGTTGAGGGATGACAGCATCCATGAGCTCAAGTTTGGCGCAAATTTTCATTTGTCCAGTTCCATGGCAAGTAAGGCCGCCTGTGGGCTACTGGCCAGAACTCCCAGTGCCCAAGAAATGTACAGCAGAGTAAAATGAGCTCAGATCTCTCCGCCTCTGGCCTGTGGATTCCACATCACACCAGCATTTTCCAAATTGCATGCAGAGAGATTTTTTACGCAGGGGGGGATGCTTACAACTCCACCCTTGCGCCGAAGCTCAGTAGCATTGATTGCACCTGCACAAATGTACGCATCCGTGCAAGTGAGAACGGTTTGCATTTAATGCGCAGCTGGAATCGACTTAGGCACCCAAAGTTGGGCGCCTTGGTCTGAGTACGCCCCTTGGAAAGGAACTGGATGGTGTCTGGCTAGCTTAATGCCCTTGCTGACATTAGCTACACCTTCAAAGAGATTTTTCAAGCTTACATTATGGGGGGGGGAACTGTACAAGAGTAGGACCCCAGTCCAGAAAGTGATCCAGGTCCAGACAAGCGCTCTTTGTGCTCCTTTATAACTTTGTCTGCCCTGGGCCTTGTGTTTGGGGAGCTTCCTCATCCATTTTTCCCTGCTCTCCGGCTCTGCCATGCCTCACCCCTGCGTCGGCATCTCGGCAGTCCCGCAACTCATATACCCGCCATGTTTTTCTCCAGCAAGGGCCATGAAAAAGCTTTACATTTTTAAGAATCGGCACCCATTCTGTTGGTCCTCGCACCGCTCCAAGGCGAGGATTGTGCATTTTAAGGCAAGTCACTGCTCAGCGTTCCAAATGCAAACTGGCCATACCTCGCTGGCACTCCATGGTCAGCAGGAGCTGCTCCCTGCTCCCCTTAGGAATGACTTCCAAAGTTTTGGAATCTTGGACATAGGCCATTTTTCAGGCTTCTCAGCAGGGGAGAACCGGTGGCCTGCTCAGAACACAGGCAGCTAAACGAGTGATTTCCTCTTCCAAGCTTCCGGCAAATGTTAAACACGAATCGCTGCAGAAAAGAGCGATCTTTGGCTGCGGATCCTTGCGTGTTTTCAGCTCTGTTTTAAGCTTGGCCTAGAGATGGCAATGCCACAAATCTTTCCAGAAATCAATCCATCTCTCGTTGAAGAAGGGCTCTTCACCGCCTTTCCGAAACAGAAATGCCTGTGCAGTTTTATTGCCAGAATGTTATCTGGTGTGAAAACGGATTCACTGACATGGATTCTGCCCAAAACCAAGCAAAAAGCTTTGGTAGGTTTTTCTGCCCTAGGAGGATGGCCACATCCACCTATTTTCTCTCACTTCCAAATTTTCAAGTTCAGTTCGCTGCAGACTTCTTTAAAGAATGCTTTAAGTGTGCTTGGAAATCTGTATTTTTGTGTGTGTTTTTCCAAGCAAACACATTTTTAATGTTTTGACTAATAAGCCCATTTTTCCCTAACCAAGCATTTCAAACATCAGTTTCACTTTTTTATGGGAAAAATCTGTTGCGGAATTGCCTAATACGCATATTTTTGCAACCAAGTTTCTTAATACAGCACATTTCTCTGTGTGATTTCCCTTCATGTGCACATTATTATCTACATCTTTGGCCGGAGTTTGCTTCTGCAGCCCTCGCTGTCTCTCGCTTCCTGGGTGGTCATCCGGGAGTCCCCCCCCATCCTACCAAGCCCGGATGACCCCTTGTCTTCACAACTCCCCTGTGCACACTCGCACACACGTTCCATAGGGATGAGATGTCATGGAGGGCACCTTTCTTCTCCACATGGACACATTTCTTCCTTCCTGGAATGAAATCACTGTGTTGAAAGTCACCCTTCCCAAAAGGAAGGGTGCCCAAGAGGTTCGGTTGTCCATAACGGCGTTCCCAGCGCCGTGCTCACACACCCGCTTCCACGCAGCTTCGCCCTTCGCCCGCAAGTCTTGCCCGCAGCCCACGGGTCAGGCCCAGGCACCGCCACGCATGGGGTTTGGTGCTTCTCACACAACGCAGCTGTGTTGTCTCCTAATCCCCCACATCCAGCCTGTGGACCGGAGGCGCATGCCTCTTGCTGCACACAGGCAGGAAGCTGGCATGCGCAGGAATTTAAAGCGCATGTCCTTCCGGCTCCCCATTGCTGAGCACCACACCTCAGGCAGCATCTTTTCGGTCCCCCCTCCTACGCGTGCAAAATGGCCGGCACCGAAACGCTTCCCAAGATCTCGCAGTGGACGCTGCTAGCATCGTTGGCTTTGTTTTTTAACCAAACAAGAGTTTCTTTGATTGCGATGTTTCCTTCTCCCTCCCTCTCCCTGTCTCCCTTTTTTTAAAGCCAAATTTGGGATTCTGTTGTTCAGAGCAAAGAGGTCACAAGGCCCTGATGCATTTAGCATTGACTGGCCTCTCTTGTCCTGCTTCTATTAGTCAGTAATTTGATTTGGACCTATTCATTTGCAAGCCCTGCAGGAGCACCGAGTTGGCCCGGCGTCTAATTGGTGCTCTCTCTATTTTAGCCTCATTAAATTAGCCCTGACTCCTGGCCACTTGGTGTCTGCGCTTGTCTGTCCATTTATACAACCTAATGTAACACAAAATTCATTACTGATCGCATTACTTTCAACTCTGAAGCCAGCCTCGTGATAAACATTTTCTTAACCCTTCCCTCTCCGGGGCCCGGAAGAGGGAAAGGTGCTTTCCTGATGCCGGGGGTGGCGAGGGAGGTGACCGGGAGGAGGCGCGATCGCAGTGGATGCTGAAGCCGAGCGGCACCCCAGTTCCAGGCTGGCTGTTCCATGCTGAGGGGAGGAAACGCCCTGGGAAAGTGGGTGAGGTGAAAGGGGGTTGCGTGGGCAGGGTATGGTGGCCACGTGTCCTC